AAAAAAAAAAAAAAAAAGGAAAAGGGGTATATACCGTAACAAAAATAAAGTAGCCTCAAGAAACCAAGCCCAAACCTAGGATTCCTGAAGGCCCTATTTATTGTGGACCCAGCCTTTTTCTGTTCTGACCATCCACAACAATGATTCTGAAAAATACAGCATTAAAATCATTCTCAAGAGGATGGGGCACCTGGCTGGCTCAGTCGGCAGAGCATGCAACCCTTAATCTTGGGGTTGTGAGTTCAAGCCCCACAATGGACCTAGAGATTGCTTAAATAAATAAACTTTAAAAAAAAGTAATTCTCAGAGAAATTGAAAATACAAGTTGTATGTAATGTATGGTGATTAACATAACATAATAAGATAAAAAAACAGTAAAAAAAAAGAAAATAGAAGTTATAAAAGAAAAAAAATTGAGGTTTTTTTTTTTTAATGTTCCACCACAAAGCACCCAAATCAGTGAATTTAACAGTTTTCTATTATAATGGTTTTAACAATGGCTCCACACCCCCATAAAGACTTTACAGATCTATAGATTCTTTTCTGATTATAATGCACTGAATGTAATGCACAGTTTCAAGACCACCTCTCCAAAATGGAGAAGGTTGACGACCAAAACAATCCAGATCTTCCAGGAGCCATTCCTGGAGGTCGTATCCCTGAGGACCCAAAACAACATTCGGTGTAGAGTCCAGTCACCTACCTTAGTGTCTACTCATAAAGTAAACACACATGCTATACAACATCAGTCCTCACTTGAGATTTTGTTCTGAGATTAGCACTACAGCAACACTGAATACATTTATTTATCATGAAACATTGATAACTATCTTGAAAGACTAGAGGTACTTTATTTTTTTTAAATAGGTATCAAACCTTTGTCTGTCTTTTAAGTTTATTTATTTATTTTTTTAGTAATCATTACAACCAACATGAGGCTCTAATTCATAGTCCCGAGATCAAGAGTCACAAGCTCTTCTGACTGAGCTAGCCAGGCGTCAGGCATTCCTACAGGTACTATTTTAAACAATGCATTCAATTTTGTTTTTCTGTACAGATCTCTTGATGTTTTCCTCTGGACTCAAAAAGAAAAAAATGTTAATTTCAATGAGGCTATTACTCAAAAGCTGAAAAATATCTATCATTCCTTCAAATCAGGTGTAAATTCAGATACCACCTTTTTAGACAAAACGTTCCTGACCACTCAATCCACACATCCACTCCTCACTCCCTCTTTTTTCTTCTTCTTAGAAATTACTCACTTTCTGCAATTAACCATGCTTATTGACTTTATCCTTTCCCCCAACCAATTAGACTTACGGCTCTAAAAACAAGCTTCTCATCTGCCCTGTTCACCAGTATATCCTCAATGCCTAGAACATTAACTAGCACACAGGAGCTATTCAGTATTGTTAACTGAATGACCACAAGAAGGAATCATCTATAGTATAAGTTCTTCCAGAAACAACTTCTTCTTGAATACAGTTCCCCCAAAAAATAAAAAACATTTAGAAATGGTGTCTTCAGGGGGTACCTGGGTGGCTCAATCAGTTGAGCGTCCAACTCCTGATTTTGGCTCAGGTCATGATCTCGGAGTTCTAGGATTGAGCCCCGAGTCAGGTGCTCAGCAGGGAGTCTGCTTGAGATTCTCTCACTCCCTCTCTGCTTCTCCCCCACATGAGATCCCTCCATCTCTCTCTAAAATAAATAAATACATCTTAAAAAAAAAAAGGTATCTTCAGTTCCTTTATAACTTCTGGAACTCAGAGCTCTGCTTACTTGCTTCTTGATGTTTTAGCTTATCCCTTGCCTACAGATCTGTTTGTTATCAGCTCCCAGACCTGCACTGCTAAAAAGAAAAATCTCCAGTCTCATTCTTCCTATGACAATAAAGAGGCAAAACAAATCTAAAACACAATGGACTAAACACAAAAGATTGGTCATTTTTTAAGATCTCCAAGTGGTATATTGTAAAAGAGGTCTTAATACTTACGAAAGGCTTTGTCTATTCTCCATCCATTTGTTTTCTCTTCACGTTTAAATTTATTCTGTTAATAAAAGAAAAAAAAACCTATAGTAATTTTCTCCCATTAAAAAAGTGAAGATTAGGGGCACCTGGGTGGCTCAGTCATTGGGCATCTGCCTTCGGCTCAGGTCATGATCCCAGGGTCCTGGGATCGAGCCCCACATTGGGCTCCCTGCTCAGCGGGAGGCCTGCTTCTCCTTCTCCCACTCCCCCTGCTTGTATTCCTGCTCTCGCTATCTCTCTGTCAAATAAATAAATAAAATCTT